GGGAGTCTGCTTCTCCCTCTGACCCTCCCCCCTCCTGCTCTCTCTCTCAAATAAATAAATAAAATCTTTAAAAAAATAAAAAATGAAGGTAACATTTAAAAAAAAAAAAATAGTACTCTGAAATCCTCATTCTAGTATTCAGGGCAGAGCCCTGTCCTTTGATCTTTAGTGGGACAGTTAAAGGAATTCGAGAAGGATTCTTGATCTTGGCACCGTGTTTATTAAGTTTACTCTAAGTTTATTATGGCTCCTCTTTTCTGTCATCTCAGTGCATCAGGAGCAGAGATACCAGGCAGACTTTGACTCAGCAGGCAGGTCTTTAACTATCGTATCTTTTAGCCCAGAGGGGGCCTGCCTTGCTTGGATGTCTGAGCAGGAATTTGTCCTGGTTTATTCTTCCCTAAGTAGATGGTGGTAACCCCTGTGCTCAAAGGGATCTTCCTTTCACTCTTCTCCCTTTCTGTTTCCTCAGAGTCAGGACTGTCTCCAGTTGGGTCCTCCTGCTGAAGGCGAAGTGGTCCAAGTGAGATGGACAGATGGCCAAGTCTACGGAGCCAAATTTGTGGCCTCCCACCCCATCCAGATGTACCAGGTAGCCAGAGGTTTTTGTTGGGGGCTGGGGAGTACTTGATTATTCAGTGTTTCCTCTTTGGCTAGAGGCGAATCTTTGCTCTTGGGAGAGCTCACCGGTTAGTATTAACCCTTTCAGAACTTGGGGCTGCCCCGTGTCCCGTCTGCCAGAGGTGGGTTCAGATTTGGCAGTCCTTCCTTCAGTGTACTGGATCCTTCCTGTGATGGCAGGAAATTGCCACTGTGCACAGTGGACCAGGGAGTCAGGGTCTTAGCCAAAGGTCTTTGTTTACTTGGTAGGTGGAGTTTGAGGATGGCTCACAGCTTGTGGTTAAGAGAGATGACGTGTACACTCTGGATGAAGAGCTTCCCAAGAGAGTCAAGTCCAGACTGGTGAGTGTGTTTTCTGTGTGCCCTTGGTTCCCGCCTGGGAGGGAGGGAACAAGGCAAGGGTGTGTCCTTTTGTTCTTTCTTTGGGGTGGTTGGCCACAAAGTGCTCATTTGGCCTGCTTATTCTTCTATAGTCTGTAGCCTCAGACATGCGCTTCAATGAGATTTTCACGGAGAAGGAGGTTAAGCAGGAAAAGAAACGGCAACGAGTGATCAACTCAAGATACCGGGAAGATTACATCGAGCCTGCGCTATACCGAGCCATCATGGAGTAGGTGCTTCCCTGGGCCAACAGGTGCCCAGCCATCACGGCGAGAGCACTCTGGGGTTCCACAGCACAGCAGACACTTGGAACTCTGAAGTCTCTGAAAGTGAAGTTGTAAAATGAAAAGGAATGGAATAACCGACCCCATCGTCTTCTCACGCCCCCGCTCCCCGTCGCATTCCGCTGTAGTGGAAGGACAGCCTTTCTTGGACACGTGGCAGCAGCCGCCTGTCTCCCCGCTGAAGGGCTGAGCATTGCAATGCTGGGGCCGCACTGGCCCTGGTCTGCAGTGGGGTCGACTCTGCTGGCTGGGCTGGTTGCCTAGGACTTAGCTTCCTAACAATCACCTGCACCAACTAGGCAGAGGTGCTGGTGCTTACTCCCTCCCTCTTTTGTATTTATGTGTGTGCGTGCGCGTGTATGTGTGTGCGTGCGTGCGTGTGCGCGTGTGTGTATGTTTGGTCTGGACCAGCGTCTGCCAGCCCCTGGCCTTTACTTTCTTCCTTGCCTGTCCAGGGCAAACAAAATGTGAAATTCTGCCCTCAGCTGAGTAAAGGCTCCTGGGGGTTGGCTGGAGATGGGTGTGGCATCTGTCTGTCCCTGGAATTGCCTCAGGGGAAGCTGGCAAAGCTGCAGTATTGAGATGTGAAGGAGTTAATGCACCTCCTTATCCTGTCTTGAAGGAGGAGATGGGGATAACATGGGTATGTGCCCGTATCAGTCTAGGCATAGAGCCTCCATGGCACAGTATTAGAGGGTGTGGGTGGGGAATACCCTGAAGGGGGTTCTTAATGATGGAAGCAGGCAGAGCCTGGTGGGTGATTCTGTCAACAGAAAATTGCAATCATGCAGGGGCTGGGAGGGTTAAGATGAATTGGGGCCACTGGAGACCAGGGGCAGGCTTAGATATGTCCCTGGTCTGGGGGTGGGAGGGAGCTGATTTGGGGGTGGGGGTGGGACTGGAGGGCAACACTGAAGGGGTTAAACAGGTTTTTGCTCCTCATGAATTTGTTTGCCTGGGCCCAGGATTGGAGGGCTTCACACCTATACCCTGTGTATACAAGAATCAGATTTATAATACTTCCCTGTTTTTTGTTACGTATGAACGCTATAAACCAAATTATTTTGAAAACTGGTGCATCACCTTGTCCTTAGCAATAAAATGTGTTGAGCAGAGGATTGGTTGTGTCTGCCCCAAGGAGCCTGAGTGGCTCAGGGTCAGGCTGGGGGTGTATCTAGTCATAAGTTCTGGAGCAGGGCCAGGTATTTTAAGAAGACTCAGGCAGGATCCAGGAAGCTGTCCTAAAAGCGATGGGTTCCTTGTCAAGTCCTGGTCCTGTGGCTGTGTGTTAGACCAAGCAAGGTGACACATGGGAGGCAGAGGCACCTGGGGCTATGAGCACCTTGTTTTGCTTCCTTTGCCTTAGGGATGGGAAGGAGATGGAGGACCAGACCACTTTCACAGTCAAACGGGGTTTGGTCTCACTTCTGCTGCACTTGATTGTCTTCATGGAGCTGGTCTAAGTTCATATTATCTGTGTTCCATGCAAATTGTGGAACCAGCATAACAGTGGTTTAAGAGCAAGGGACTTGACCCCCGGTGGGATCCAGTGGGGTCTTGAAGCTACTCTGGGTTGCCTGTAGTTGGTGAGAAACTTACCTGGAGGAATATCCGGTCCCTTCGTCTGGTGGGTTCCTGGGGTATATATAGGTGGTTGAGGATGGAGCAGCAGCAGGGCAGGGAGGGGCCGGTGACTAGGTGCGGGACTGGGTCACAGCAGAGCTGTTTCAGCTGGCCCTTGGATGACCAGGCACTTGTTTCATGGCCCTGTACAGATGCCAGAGAGGCTTGGGTCAGCTCAGCAATTCTCAATGCTTCTTTGTATCCTGGGGTTTGGGAGGTGGTTGCTACCTGGTGTCTGATTGGGGGGAGGCGGGGGGAAGGGAGGTGCAGCAGCTTTCAAAGATACTTTTCTATGCCAACTCCCTCCTGGGGCCAAGAAAGGGAAGTTGACTTTTTTGTCCAGCATCCAAGAATTCATTTGGGAGATGAGGTGGGACCAGGCCTTAATGGATTGTTGAGCCCTGGGAGCACATATCTTTGACGGGAAGGAACACTTCTCTAGACTGGCAGGGTCCCAGGCCCTGCTACCTCTCACGGACCCCACCATGTCCATCTGCATCCCTGGTGAAGGACCTGCAGGGCTGAGGTGCCTGGACTAACCCCAGCAGAGCTCTAACAGCTGACTTTTTCTAGAAATTCTGCACTTTGAATTTTGGCTAAAGTAGTAACTCTGGGGAAATCGAAGTTTAGTGATGAGGCTTGCTCAAATCCGACAGAACAGGTCGTTGGTTTTCTTCCTCACTGCCTGCCAGTGCAGTCAGGCCCAGGCCCTAGAGGACGCACTCCAGGGAAGCCTTTTTGTCAGGGCAAACTGCCCTCCTTTCTTAAGGTAGCATCTCTGGGTTGGCAACCAAGGATCGCAGCCTGACCGTACCTTCTCCCTTCTGTCCATCCCATCGGTGGTATCACGTTTCAAATTGTGCCCCAGGTGGATGCCGGTGCTCAGTTGCGGGAATGAGGTAGGGTGGGAGAGAGCTGGGACCTCGGGAGCCGAAAAGGGCGAGTGCTCCTGTGCCCGGACTAAACATTTTCTGCCACACTGAAATGGGCAGGACAGCAGGGAACCCTGTCCCCTTACATGCCATAGGATCGGGCAGGGTCGCCCAGCCCGTAGAGGCCCCCAAACCTTGGGCCTCAGGGAGCCCATTGGCGGTGCTCAGCCGGGCTCCCGGCGGCAGCTGCGGCCCTTATGGAATGACCGTGGCCACCCTGCATCCGCTCCCGCGAGGAAACAGGCTCTCGAGGGGCTGGGTCACGCCCGCGGGCATCAGATGTCCGTCTCCCGGGCGTGAAGCCGGGGGAGGATTGCTTCAGGCGGCGGATGTGCTCCGGGAAGCCGAGGCGAGGCGTCCGCGCTGACCTGCAGGCTGGGCGGACTCGGCCCGACGCGGCTCCGCACCGCCCGCAGCCCAGGTCCCCGCGGAGGGTGGGGTGGGCGGGTCGGGGAACTGGGGGTGCCCGTGCCTATTGGGCCTCCGCGAGCTTGCGCTCGCCAGCTGCCCGCAGCGCAGCTCTGCATTGGTCAGCCCGGCGCCCCGCCCGGCTCCCGCGGCCCCATTGGCCGCGGATGCCCGACCCCCGGCGAGGGCGCTGAGGCGGAGAGCGGGATTGGTGGTCGCGCCGTCCTCGGGTCGCGGCCGCGCGCTCCGCCC